TGGCTGTGGTAATTTTCCCGTCCCGCAGTTTTTTTCTCCTTCGGCGAGGACCATCGAGGAACATCCTTGATCATTTCGCGGAAAAGCCATGCACGAAACCGAAAAGGGCACATCGAATGGACGTCCGAGCGATGGCCAGGACGAGTCGAAGGGTCCAGGGGCTGGCGACTCGAAAAGGCAGAGGGGTCAGAGGTTTGGGTGCGCCGCTTCTGATTTTTTGTTTTCGGGCGTGGCCGGAGCCAGAATTTATTTCTCGCGAGGTAAACTGCCTGAACTGAACTGAACTGAACAGACTGGTCGCACCCGTTACGCGACGGGTTTGTTCTAGGCCACCAAGGGCGCAACCTAATGGCGCAACCGATCGGAGACGGTTTTATTCTCGGCAGCCGAGGGCGCAACCGATGGCGCAAACGATAGGAGACGGTTCTATTCTCGGCCGCCGAGGACGCAACCAATGGCGCAAACGATCGGAAACGGTTTTATTCTCGGCCGCCGAGGGCGCATCCGATGGCGCAAACGATAGGAGACGGTTCTATTCTCGGCCGCCGAGGGCGCAACCGATGGCGCAACCGATAGGAGACGGTTCTATCCTCGGCCGCCGAGGGCGCAACCGATGACGCAACCGATAGGCGACGGTTGTCTTCTCAGCCGCCGAGAGCACAACTTATGGCGCAACCGATAGGGAAGCGAGCTGCAGCAGGAGGAAGACGAGGAAGACGAGGAGGATGAGGAGGAGGACGAGGACGACGACGACGACGATCAGGATGGGGAGGAGGACGGGGAGGAATACGAATAGTACGAGGACGAAGTGTGGGCATTCGAATGCGTGCTGGGCTATGCCCGAGTTCTGCTCGCCGCTTGGGCTGGCGGTTGGGCCCAAGCGGCGAACTGTCTTATGATTTTGTTACTTTGCGTATGATTATCAAGCGCTTGGCCCGTTGAGCCCAACTAAGCAGCGTGGCAGCCGTGCCCAAACAGGTGAAGCAAGAGATGGCGGCGGCCTTGCAATGAGGAGGCGCGCGAAGAGGGGGACCGTCGGCGAGCATGGCGACCCGCGGGGAGTAGCGAGCGTTAGCGCCGTGAGATAGCTCGGCCGAGGGCGCGGCCTACTGCAGTTGCGCTGTGGTGGGTTGACCTCCCGTAACTGAGCCATTAGTGGGCCCTGGGAATGACAAGGCAGCTTCTTACAGGCTTCGTTGTCCAGTGCGTGTTGCTGGTTTCAGCGCAGTTGTGTTCCAGGCTCCGTCGCCGTTTTTCTTCCGATTCCGGTTCTGGCTCCAACCCCAGAGCCGTTATGTGCAGTCTTTGGGGGCATTTTGCGTTGCGTACCGGTCCCATGTTCTAGGAAGTTGGCAAGAAAACAATAACATCATGGCAAGATAATTGCATAACAAATAAGGGCAAGAAGCAATAAACTAATGGCAGGAAATCAATCAGATAATGCTCTACGTGCGTTTTCGAGGATCACTGCAAGAGAGCAACTGCTCTTTGCCTTCCCCGGGGCCCACCGAGCCTGCACCGCACGCCCTGTGGAGCGCAGCTCCAGGCCGCTCTCCAAAGTGGGTGGGGTCGGGGCCGGAGGCTCGCGCCGCATCGCCGATGCATCGGCGCTGCGGCTCGATCGAGAGCCCGATCATCTCCATCAGCATCCTCCTCCTCCTCCTCCTCCTCCTCCGCCTCCTCCTCCTCCTCCTCCTCCTCCTCCTCCCCCTCCTCCCCCTCCTCCTCCTCCTCCTCCTCCTCCTCCTCCTCCTCCTCCTCCTCCTCCTCCTCCCCCTCCTCCTCCTCCGCACCCAGCCGTGGTAGGGGGGCGGGTGGGAGCAATGTGCCCTTAGGCCACGCGTGGTCCTTCCCAGGACGGGTCGAACCACGGCGCCCGCTAGAGGGGAAGTCGTCGCAGTATAGGTCGGCCCTCCGCGCTCGCCAGAGGCCCGAGGCTGTGGATTTCGTCGACACCTCTCTGATGCGTCTGCCGCCGCCGCCTCCTCCTCCTCCTCCTCCTCCTCCTCCTCCTCCTCGATCGAGAGCCCGACCTTGCCCATCAGCATCCCCGATGTATCGGCGATGCTGCGCGATCCTCCGAGCCGTCTGCCGGCCCATTCTGGCGACCTCCAGCAGATCGAGAGAATGTGCATACGCGTACGAGGTTTGTCTTCATAACTTTTCTTCCTGGAGTTGGCGGTGCAAGCGATGGGGACGGTTGCGCTGGAGAGCGTGTGGCCGAGATTTGATTAGGTGGAGAGGGCCACAGAAGAAGCGATATGGCTTCCGCGTCATTCCAATATGGATGCCCCAGTTCCCCAAGACAGCGCATAAGTGACCCCTCCTCCTCTCCCTGATCTTGCCTCTGCATCAGATGTTGCCACGCGCATGCGCTTGAGGTGGGGTGATGCCCAAAAGAACAACTGATATTTTGTCCAGGGATTGCAACCGTCCCATGCATCTGCGAAACGCCCCACAGGTTGGACGAATACATAGAGGTGCCCTTGCAGCAACATGAATGTCTCACGAGCCGCACATCATCTATCTCGCTTTGCCGCCGCCCCCCTCCTCAGATTGCTTGGTGGGTTTGTTAGTTGTCTTGTCGGTTTGCTTGCTTGCATTTCGCTTGATTGGCTTGTTGATTGGTAGTCGTTTAGAGCTGTTTGTTGGCTGGCTGGTTGCGCGCGTTTCTTACATAATATTAGAGGTGGTGGCCTTAGGAACGCGCTGCCGTTGTGAATTGTGACGGTTTGCGGCTTTGGCAATGCGCACACCTAGCTATTCAGGAGAATTGAGCAGATTCCCAGGAAACGACGGGATGGCCGAAAGGCGCCCACTCCGAACACAGATCCCAATACAGAACAGAGCAGATGGTCTGCAATGGAAAGGGGTGGCGCTTCCGGGAAGCCTGCGTGGCGCGGGCTCGTTGCCGAGAAACGGCAGCTCCGAAGACGCCATTTTCCAGTCATTTGCGAGGGGGTGCGGCCTCGGAGCGCGAGTTTTGGGTGGTGTGCACGGGATTCTGGCCTGGGGATCGCGATCCTTGCTTACCAGCCTCGAGCTTATTCCTATCCCTAAGATCGACACGCCAAAAGGCGATGACAATCTTAGGGATGCGCCCTCAAAAAATAAGGGAATCCCTAAGATTGGCATCGTGATAAGGAGATGCCCAGCATAGGGATAGGGATATTCTCCAGGCTGGTAACTTGCGTCATTTACAATGGACTGCGGCCTCGGGAGTGTCAGGGCGTATGAGCTAGTTTGCAAGGACTGGTGGTCTCGGGGACGCAGTGCCATGTGTCAAGTTTGTGTCATTGTAGGAAAGGTTCTGGGCCCGGCAGCGCAAGCCAGGTGCACATGTATTCGGGATTGTGGCGTCGGCAGCGCGGGCCTTGCGTGATGTTCACGGGGCTGTGGCTTCGGAACCCTTCATGCTGCTGTACACGGATTTTTTTCGTTGGCCCGAACCCTTAGTGATTTTAACGGGCTGTGGTTTGGGAGCGCGAATATAGTATACTTTACAATTGATTGTGGCTTGGGGAGCGGGGGTCTGGGAGCGGGAGTCTGGCGTAAATTACCAGGGATTGCTGCTTCGGGAGCGCGAATCTGGTGCATTTGCGATCGATTGTTGGCTCGCGAGCGCGAGCCAGGCATACTTCACGATGAAGCGTGGCTTGGGAAGGGTGAGCCTGGTATACAGTCGACCCGCAGAGTAAGGATAGGCATCCCTCCCAAGGGTGCCCTTGCATCCCCTTGGACGCGTTCGTTGGCCGCGCCCCGCTCGAAACGCTTCGAAATGGGCGTCCAAGGGCCTTGCATACTTATCGCGCATCCTTACTCTGCGGGTTGACTGTACAGGGCAGTTTTTAATACATAGGATTAAACAAAAAAACATGGGATTTGTAATACATGGTTAATGTATGAATAAACGTATGCATGAACTCATCGTTTTTTTAATGCTAAAGCCCTGCATGTTTGAAACATTATCCGCACCCGGAGCATGCATTAAAAACGGCACTGTAATTTATTTAGGGGTTGCTGTCTCGGGTTGTCTCGGGATCGTACTCTTGCGAGTCGGAGAACCCCTTAGCGGGGAGGGCGCTAGGCCACGTGCCGGCCTCTCCCCGCCTCGCGCGGAGCTGCCGTCGGGCCAGCAGCGGACCCAGAGAGGAGAAACCACTGCGTGTCGCTATGAGGTGTGAATTTGGTCCAGCGTGGACCCCAAACAGTGTGTCTCTAACAAGTGGTCGTTTTTACTGGTTGTTTTGCCGATTCGGCGCGGGCCCTCGCACCGCTCCCCCCCCTCCCCCCCCCCATGGAAGTGTGAATTCTGTCCAGCGTGGACCCCAAGCGGTGTGATTCCAACAAGTGGTCGTTTTTACTAGTTGGTTTGCCGCTCGGCGCGGGCCCTCGCACCGCCCCCCCCCCTCCCCCCCCCCCCATGGAGTTGACCTTGGCCGTTTTTGGAGCCAGGTTTTCAGGCAAGCGGAGTCTCCCCCACAGGACACCCTGTCGCAAACAGTCGCCCTAAGCAGAGGTCCGGAGCCAGACCCCCCCCCCTTCCCCCCCTTGCCGCCCAATGTCGAAATGCCGAATAAAAAAAAACGTTCACCAAGCTATATTGTGCAACCTATGTGGAGCAATCTATGTGGTACAGCAAGTGTGCCGACGTCCGTGTGGTGTCATCTATGTGTTGCAATCGTAATGGTGCAACATATGTTGTGCAATCTGTGATTGGGGGAACAGAAGTGCTTCAGGGAACAGGACGGCCTCGTCCTCGCAGCCTGTTGGCCCCCAGGTGGGTTGGCAGATTTCTGCTACTCTTCGTGTGTGCGCGCTCTGATCTTGCATGGTCCATGCTTGACATCGCTCGGACGTGCGCCTGCGAGGACCATCGCGGAGCATCATCTTGCGAGAGAAGCGCACGACATCGAAACATGCAATGGTAATGGACGTCCGATCGATGGCGAGTTGTTTGCCCCATGGCAGTTGGTGTTTGTCTGGCCGACACGCGCAAGGCAGCTAAGAGTATCGTGTCGAGCAATGTGAGCATTCCGCTGAGAGCCTCCAAGAGCCTGCGGACGACAGTAAGGCGCCTCGGCTGGGCATGTTGCCTGGAGGAGCAGGAGGAGCAGGAGAAGCCCGAGCGGGATGGTGAGGGGGAGGGCGAGGGCTTCGTAGCCTGGGGAACGAGGAGGACTATGAGGAGGACGTGGTGGGGGATTCGGAGGAAGAGGAGAGGCATATGAGCGAAGCAAAGAAAATTGATCCGGAGCTAGAGGAGAGGCATGTGTCATGGGGGACTCAGTGCAAGAGGAGAGGCATGTGAGTCTGTGAGCGAAGCAGAGAACACGGATTCGGCTGCGCTGACGTTCTTGTGCGCAAGTTGCCCGCATAAGGTCGCGCACATGCGCCCTCCTCTTCAGTGTGGCGTGCCGCGTTGGCGGCCCGCGTAAGCCAACGCGTAGCGGGTTGGAAGGGAGGAGGTGTAAGAACAGCAGCGGCAGTGCTGGATCGGGGTGTATTTTGACCGCCCAGTTTCAGTTGTCATTGTTGTTGCGATGGCGAGCGATGACGCCATCCAGTTCGTCTTAAGATTGTTCTCTATCCGCCAGTGGACTAGTTTGCCCGATCAGCATACTTCATATTTCATTCCAAGAGCCAACAACAACCATACATCGTTTTCCAATAACCAACAACAGTTTGAGGATTATTCGATACATCGGCAACAACGACCCAACACATACTCGAGGACAAAGTGCACTACGAACAGCGACGTAAGAGACAAGCGCTATACCACGGGGCTGGCGATATCCCTGCCAGACCACGGAGGCGGGAAAAACAACACAGGAAAACCCACTGCTACCAAGCAGGCTTAGTTTGTTCATACGGGGGAGAAACACCCGTCTGACACTCATCCCACAACATGGGCAATAGGGTCAATATGCCACATGCAGCAGGGAGTTTTACCAACACATCGCCAGATTCGCGGAGCACCTCAAATCTACACCCGCTTGCGCGACACTGTTGTGCAATGTGGCCCTTCGACTACCCGAACAGGACTTCAATACCGACCATATACGAATAAACGCCACGCAAAGGGGGACGGACATTCAAGCAGGATTGTTTGAGAACCGCTGGTGCGTGCGCAGGTACACGACAGACGTCCCGGTGACCTACTGCACGGATACAAGAACCCACATCAACACCGTATCATGACAACGATGGACCCAAACCAACTTTGGTCAGGGGCGATGGGGGCAAAACCAAAATCATGTTCAGTCTCAACATACATAGTGCGGAAAGAAGTGGCGGAAACATGCAACAATGAAAAGGTACTTTGCCACCCACGGGGACGCAGGTTCACATGCTCGCTATCGGCTTTGCCAACCACGAGAACAATGGTGACTTGACTAATTGAGACAACATCGGGTGGTGGATTGACCAGAAGCGCTGGGGGCACGCGGCCGCCATCGTGGCCGAACCACCATTCAAAACATGAAGCGAAGGAAGAACAATATGCGCAGCCCCCAGCAGCGCCCATTTATTTCAGCGGGCGGCACTTGGAGTTCGCACTACACCGTTCACCGATACATGCTGGGCCAGGTCGACAGGAAACCCACGACCCTCGCGTTCGCATCCCGCGCCCCAAGCACAGCGTGGCGGGTGCGCCCGGGAACTGCATATGCAACCGCGGGCGAGAACCCCCCCTGCCCGCTGCCGGAGAGGAACCAGGATGGAGCATGGCAGAGCCACGCCGCGAAGGCCTACCCGACCGACGCGTGTTTCCTCATTGCAGGCGCCGTCTGCAAAGCGACGATGCAAACGCGGGCGCGCCAGAACGACGCAGACGCATGCCCCCGCCCCCGCCCCCCGAGCAGCATCGCGATTGCTGCGCCCCGATGCGCCCCCGCTGCGACTTCAACCGCAGCACGGATTGCGCGGCGCGCCGACATCTCCGACCGGAATAATTCACAAGTTCGGCACCTTTTCAATCCAGCAGCTTCTCGGGCACCGTCCGTCGTGCAGGGGCGACGCAGGGTCGGGCGACGCGCTTCCGCGCGCCACCCTGTTGGCGTGCGCCAGCGCAGCAGTCGCGCCCTTCCCCCCCGCCCCGACTCCGACCTTTCTTCTTTCCGCCGCCGCTGGCCTCGGCAGTTGGCAGCCGGCAGCGACGCCCAGCAACGGGGGCAATGTATCATGCCGGGCCAGTGGGCAGCCCGCTGGCCATGGTGGAATTTCGCCGTCCACGCCGATCTTCCTCCGCCGCGCCCTCGCCATGCACCGCGTGCCGCGACCCGCGCAGCCCGCCGCCCCCCTGGCCCGCCGCCGACGCGCGGGCGCGTGGGGGGGGGGGCCCGCGACCTGCGGCGAATACCAATCCGCGTCAACGCCCACGCGCGGCTCGCAGCGCGCGACCGCGCGCCCTGGGCGCGCGTGACCGCGCCTGTCCATCCCGCTGACGCTTGCCGCCAGCGCCTGCAGGCCATGGGGGGGGGGGGGGCTGCGACGCCGGGCAGCCAGCCTGCGCCCATTGCCGACGCGGGGCCCATCTGGCCGAGCCTCGCTGGCCGCCGCTGCAGCGTCGAGGCGGCAGGCGACTTGTAGTCTCTTGGCGCGCGCGCCCACGCGCTTAGATTTCGGGCGCAGCGCCGTCGAGGCGACCGTCGTGACAAAGCGCCTCGCGGGAGAGGGCCAGTCCTCGCGGATCGAGACGAGCGCGGGGGCGCAGGGGGCACGAGCCAGACTACCAACAACACTAACGTCTTCCGTCCCCCCCCCCCCCCCCCCGCCCACCCGCCCGCCGGCCGCTTCTCTTCGCGGCCCTCGACCCGGCGCGAGTCGCGCTTCATGCGGCAGGTTCGGCCAAAGGAACCACGGGGAAACGACAGCTCGGACGAACGTCGCGGCAGGGGCCCACGAACCGCCAGGGCCGGAGCAGATCGACCACGACATGGAACAGCCCCGAGATCTTGGGCCTGAGAGAATCTGCAATGGCGACATCAAAGTGCGCGACTACTGGGCGTCTAGACCCGACTGGGCTACCGCGCCGAAGTTCGCGCGGCCGTCAATGTCTTGCTTTCGCGCGCCTACGTGGACATCGGCGCCCTCAGCGCGGAGCGCATCGGGGCCTTCGACCCTCCGCGACCAGAGAACGACCGGGACGCCTGATCGCCATCGAGGACCTGCAGCGCCGGCTGCCCGCACAAGTTGGGCGACGTGCGCCGCGCGTTCACCTGCGCGCCCAAAGGGGGCGGCCCCGTGGAGGCGAGCACCGGGGCGGTCAAGAAGGTCTCGCAATCCCAGGTTGCACCCCACCAGCTGTCATATTCACATACATGCATAGTTATGTGGTTGGGTGCCGTGTGCATGGCCCCCATGAGCATCACTCGCTATTGCGGGACCTTATGCGAGCACCGCGCCGCGGTCGCACGCCTGCCAGCGACCGACGACAGGTGTCTGGCCACAGGCTAAGTGGAGGAGGCGCTCAGGCCCCACGTCTTCCGCCACTCCAGCAATTGCCCGCGCGGGGGCCGACGCCAGCTTCAGCGACTTCAGACGAGAACGCCGTAAACAAATGATAAGAAAAGTACAGAGGCCATGGCAGGCAGCAGCCGCCAACCATCACCCCCTCGGACAAAACGCGGCAGTCCGACGAAATCGCGGCTCCGCAGCCGGCGCACGCCACGCCGCGCATGGGCCACGCGGAGATGGAATGGGCCACTGTCGCGCAGATCCATGGCGCCCGCGCGACTCATTTCGCGAATTCCAGAGCTTTCGAGATGGGGGGGGGCACCGCCGTCCAAGGCAGACGCGCGGAAGCGGGCGGCGCCGCGCGCGTCGACTTCGCGCGCCCGGGCGCCGCGCAAGACGACAGGCGATGACATGTCGACGCCATCGGAGAGAAGATCGGTCTGCGCGCGCCTGAGGGGCGCCATCCATGACCGCGGGCGGCACGGCGTCATCCATGGGTCCACGTGGAGCGACGTCCTCCCCAACCGCAGACGCTTGCATTCTCTCGGGGGACAGCCAGCGCGTCGCGCCGCAGACCATTGGGTGACAGCGCGCGCTTCCTGGAGACCCCGCGGGGGCCTGGCGCCGCCTCCTCGCTGCGACCAGGGCGAGATCAGCCACCTCGACCGCCGCGCCGCATCACTGAGGTTACCAGTCGGACCAGTTCCACCAATGGAGGTAACGCGGATCAGGCGATGGCAACCTGCCCGCGTGGCCAGCCGGGATAGGCAAGTTACGCCGTGCGGGGCCGGCGTCAGTTTGCAGGGGCGCAGCGGCGGACAGAACGACGAAACCTACAACGCCGTTTCCAATTTGGCCATTTTCGACACGGACAGCGCGGACATGGCGCTGACACAGACGCCAGCGCAGACGCCAATCCAGAGCCCACCCGAAGATGCCACTACATGGCAACCGCGAACGGAGGCCGACTTCCACGGCGAACCGCCCGTCATCAAAATGACCGATTACGACAGCACATCTGAAGAACGCAAGGCAGAGGCCCACAAACAGTTGGAAGATATGCGGCTGTCTCACGAGCTGCTCGAGGACCTCGCGCACGAGGGGGAGCCCAATTGGCCGGGCATATCCAGGCCCCCTTGTTCCAGAGCGCATGCCATGCCAGGCGATCCACCGACCCATTTGCTGGAAGGCTGCCCGCCTTGGCATCGCCTGGGGAAGGAGGGTTCAAGCCTTCCCCCGCCGACAGTTGATCGCGGAGGCGGCCGCAGTGCCGGCGACCAAGCCAGCGCCGCCGACAATCCCATTATGGAGGACGCGCTCGACGGTTGAGCAGGGCTTTCCCGATATGCGACCGGGATGCAACTCATTCGCCCCGCGCAGGACCACTGCCCTGATCAACAAACCGCAGGCGCGCGACCCCGACCCTGGCGAGTTCAGCGCTGGACCCCAGGCACTGCAAACGCACGACGTCAAGCTGCCGTTCCCATGGAGAGCGCGCCCAGAGGACGGCCGCGCCCCGTAGGCGAAGGAGGCCACGTGAGAATTCTTTGAAAACTGCAATATACGAACACGGAAGTCAAAATGAGAAGGGGGCAATGACAAAACCCAGCACGCCCCGAATCAGCGCCAGCAAGGAGACCCTCGCGCGTTGCAGCGAGACCGCGGCGAGTTAATTCAAGATGCCCCTCCCCCCTGCGCAGGGCCGACGGCGACGGGCCTGGGCCGCCGCTCCCGCCGCAGACCACCGCCTGCGAGGGCCCGCGAGGTCGCTGATGTCGCGCCACCTGAGCAGACCCTAGCGCGGCGTGGGAACAAACGCGACACGGTGTTCCGAAAGAAGGTCATCCACACAATCTACCAGGTCAGCCTCGCCAACATGATCCAGCAGTCCGCTTCAACGAGCCGCGCAGGCACTGCGTAACAATCTTTGAAACGTGATCGCGGGCGCCATCGACATGGGCAAATCTTGGACGCTGTGCGACGTCTTGGACTACGTTGACAAGTGGCGCCTGGATGGCTACGACCCTGGATTCCAGGAGCGACGCCCCGACTCCAGCTACAGGCGGCCCCACAGTAGTTCGCAGAGACATCGGCTCACGACGGTGCCGAATGATGCAGCGCGAGAGAGGGCCACCGACATCATCGCATGCGTCACCATGGAGTGGCACGACGTCTACGACCAGGTGCCCCCTCGCTCCAGCGAGGCCATTGCCGCCGACGTGCTGCCGCGCGCAAGGACCTGCGGGCAGTCTCGTCCCCGCGGCGCCGCAGACGCAGGCTGCGCCTGCAGCCCCGCGGCAGGTCGCCGCGCCGGCGACGGGAATGGCCGACGACGCGCGCGCGCCGACCGGCCGCGCGAAGATGCCGCGCCACCCGGCATTCCGAAGTGCCGCCCCCGAGAGGGGCTCTACACTGACAGCTATGAGAAGCCGAACAACGCCACGGAACACGAACACTTGCGACACTCGCGCGGCAACGCCGACGCCGCCAGCCATTCGACGGCCGCCGCCGCAGCCGAGGGCGCCGCCGCCAACGCGCGCGGGCCCCAACGTCGAGCCTGTCACGCGTCGCCAATCCAGCGGCCAGCTGCCCGCAGGTGCGCGCCCCGACGAAGGCAGGGGCGGCAGCAGGGGCCGCGTCGACAAACGAGAGAAGATCGCCCACTGGCACCAACGCCGAAACCACCGAGACCATCTTGAGCAACGACAGATCACGTCAAAGCCAAGACGCCCATGCAAATCCACGGGCAGCAGTGCGAGAAGGACACTTTTCAGCTGCGCTGATGTTCACGGCAGCCATGTGTCGCCCCGATATGCGCCGCCCCGATGGCGACGCCGACCAGGTCCGTAAGGTTTACAAATATGGGGGCCCAGAGGACAGGTACATGGACGTCTGCGCGCCGACCAACCAGGGCCGGCGCGTCAGCGGGGCGCAGATCGAGGCGCTGCCCATACGCGGGGCGCGGACGCTGACGGGCCCCTGGGCGCGGGGCCGCCGGGCCCAGGACGGAGCGACTCACCAGAAGCGCGAACAGGGGGAGGACCCCGCGTCGCGGCGCGACAGGGGTGTGGGGCCGCATGCCCGAATACGAGGCCTACGTCATTAGCATAAGGCGCTATTGTCGTAGCGACCTAATCACGTGCGCGGGGTCTTGGGCGGGTAACGAAGGGCCGTGCGCGACAACATGTGCCGCGCCGCCATCTGCTACGAGAGGACCAGGCACAGTCCGACCTGACAGAGCGAGCCCAAGAGCAGCCCAGCTGTGGGCACGGGGTCGAGCGACGACAGCCATGTCCGCCATTCCAAACTTCACGAAGAAGCTCAACCCACCGACGCTGCCTCCTCACGTCGCAACCCCTCCAAGAATCAGCGGCCCCTGGGCGCTTGGAGCGGCCGCTTCCGCGTTAACGACCTCGGTGAGCCTGGCAACCAAGATGCTCCGCCCAGCGCTGGCCGCCAGGAGCTGTTGCATGGGCCACTTCAGTTGAGGAGCGCCAGCACCAACCTTACAGCTCCTAACGTCACACCTCTCGAGCTGTAGCTACCCACGCGGGGTCGCGACGAGCAGAGCCTTCCCCATTCGTTATGTCCAACGCGTCACACGGCTACATCGCTCTCTGCCAGTATCTCTATGTTTTGGGTCTCGGCCACTTTCGAAGCCCTGTCCTACATGCGCCCAGCTTCTTCCCTTCTCTGAGGAATCTCAAGCCCCAGCCTAAGTGACCCCTCCCTCCCACTCCCCTTGCCTGTCGCCCGCTGACCAGCACCCCCCCCCTCCGCTGCCGCCAGCGCCAAACAGGGGGGCGGGGCGGCCAGCGACACGGGCGGAAGGGGAACCAGAATGGCCACGCTCGACATAGGGCGCCGCGTGGGGGTTCAGCCCCCACGGCAGCCGCGGACTGGGCGGCATGCGTGCGCGAGCCACGCCGAGGTGACCCCTCGCGGGGCGGGGGTCCCGCTGGGGCCGCCCTCTCCAGTCACTTGCTAATTCGGGGGTGGACAGAGCCCCCAACAGGGACACGTCGATTAGTGAATTGTCCTCATTCGGTTCTCGAGAGGGCGCCGCGGCCGTTATTTTCCAGGCTCGCGCCCGCCAGGTTTGGGCTTCAGGTCGTTTTCGCTAAACCACGTTTTACTACAGGGAGGTCTGTCCATCCCCGACTAATTTGTTTGCCACATATTGCGCCCATCCTCCCCGCAACCACCCAGCCACTGTTCAGGCCACCTTGCCTTACCCCGCGCTGCAGTATCCGATCCACCCGCGCCCCGCTCGCACCGCCCACCTTTTGCTGCGCCGCGCCGATTGGCACCTGCACTGTGCACCGTGTGCCTCATTCCACATGCTGTGGCACATTTGTTGGGGGAGGTGGAGATTTCCACCCGAGGTGGGGCGACCCGGGGTGGGCCCCGGCTCCCGTCGAGGGGGTGGGTCCCACGCCCGAGCCCCACCTGCACGCGCACCGTGCCGCCACAGACAACCCCTTTTTTCCTCGTGGTCTTCTGTTTCCCAGCCTTTGGCGCTGGCCAGGCGGGAAGGGTTGGAGGGCTTCAGCCGTTCGACAAGACAGTCCGCATTTTCAGGACTTCGAAGGGGAGGGGGGAAGGGAAAGGATGAACATCCTAATCTCGTATAGGAAATGTGTACATCATTTGTCGGGGGGGAGGAGCCGGAGGGAAGGAAACGTTGGTTCATGTAGTGGGGTGCGACCTCTGTAGTTTGAATGCGCAAGAGAGACAGTCACAAACTCAGGCCCGTCGGAGGCCCGCGCTGGCTTCTCGGATCGGCCTTGGACCCCACAGAGCATTGAAGCAATGAATCAGGCACTTCGCATGTTTGGGAACGTTCTCGGGTTTCGTGGATCTGCGTTGGACCCTCCTGGCGGCGCCTCCGCCGGCGCCTCCGGTGCGCTCTGCGCCAGGGACAGGTCTGCACGAACGAAATGGGTACGGAAAGAATGGGTACAATGCCCAACAGCAGGTCCTGCTCATTCTGAACGGGACTCGCTGTCCGCGCCGCCGCGGCCTGTGTCCGTTTGAGGCAGAAGACCGCCTGCCCAACAGCGGCCGCTGCTGGTTTGGGACAACATTTGTTGTTGGGCATTGTACCCATTCTTTCCGTGCCCATTCCGGGCGTCCAAAAAATCCGAGTCGGGTCTCGAGTTGCCGCGCGAGGCCTCCATGTCCTCGAGGTTTCGCCCCGAGGCCCCGAGGTACCTATTTTTGTCCGTACCCATGTCGGGCGTCCAAAGTGGTGGTCCGAAGGTCCGCGCGGACGTCCGGCAGTTGATGGTTTGGCGGCGCGGGCAAGCCGAGGCGGAGTCCACGGCGTCCCCACAGGGAATCCTCGGTCCCCGGGCGCGAGCGCCGCGGCCTCTCGAGCGCGCGAAGTTGCTGCTCATGCCGTTTCTCGTCCTCGGGTCCTCTTCCTCCTCCTCTCCTCCTCCTCCTCCTCCTCCTCCTCCTCCTCCTCCTCCTCCTCCTACTCTTCTCCCCTCCTCCCTCCTCCTCCTCGTCCTCCTCCTCCTCCTCCTCGCTCCTCCTCCTCCTCCCGCCTCCTCCTCCTCCTCCTCCTCCTCCTCCTCCTCCTCCTCCCCGCACGCTCTGCACACCACGACCGCCGCACGCAGCGTGCCCTTGGGCCCCGCCTGAGGGGCCCGGCGGGTCGGGCGGTCGCCACGGCTCCAGGAGCTTCTGGACACGCTGCGTCCGGGGCCTTTCCGCCAGCACCGGCCCATGAGGAGAAGGAGGAGGAGGAGGAGGAGGAGGAGGAATGGGAGGAGGAGGAGGAGGAGGAGGAGGAATTGGAGGAGGAGGAGGACGAGGAGGAGGAGGACGAGAGGAGAAGGAGGAGGAGGAGGAGAAGGAGGAGGAGGAGGAAGAGGACGAGGAGGCGGACGGTGCACGCCGCCACCGTCGTCGCCCGCAAGACGGCCCCAAAAGTGTGCCGCTGACCTCCCCGGTAGTCCCGCCGCCTGCCTTCGTCGAGCGGCCGCACGCCGCGGCCGCCAGGCCCTGCAGAAGCGCGCCAGTGCTCCCCGGGCATGCCGCCTCGCGCTCTCGGGTGGGGATCGCTCGCAGCAGAATAGTTGGTTCTCGACCCCGGCGACGACCCAGTCATTGGGGGCGGCCAAGAGGGGGTTGGTGACTAGGGGAGGGTGCTTCTTGTTTCATTGCGTCCCTGGCCCCCCCCCTGGGGCCGCGCACATGCCGCCGGCCATGATTTGCATCCCCCCTCTTGGCCGCTCCCGAAGTCAGGAGTAGTGTCCTGCGCCCTTTCTCGTGCGAGCTTTCAGCACAGAGCTTCAAGCGGAAGCGGGGGAGCCCCAGGATAATTTGAACCGAATCAGTCTGTGCCCACGCTGTCCCGGCCACTGCCAGGGCTCTGGCAAGACAGCGTCATTTCTGCCGCAGCCTGGCGCGCAGCCGTGAAGCGGCAGTGCGACGCCCTGTGAGGCCACGGCATTCATGCTCATTCTGCTTTGCCCTCGGCGTTGTCTCTCTCTCTCTCTCGGCCCCCGCGGCCTCGCAGTGGCGGCGACGGGGGCATCGTGCTGGGCGAGCTGCTGGCCAGGCGCTGCTCGGCGCCGCAGGCGGCCGCGGGGAGGGGCCCTGCGGGTTCGATGGCCCGGCCTTGCCCGGCCCTCAACTCTGTGGCCGGGACCTGTGCAGGTCGTGCGGGCGGCAAGAGGGAGGGAGATGATCTATGCCTCCCAGCTGCGCAGAAGGGAAAGCTGCACGAAAGGGTGGCCCTTCGACTACACGTAAGAGTGACCCTTCGCCAGAGTGACCCTGGGTGCGGGCTCACCTGGGTGCCCCCGATGCCCGAGCGCGATGCGATAGTGGCTGCTTGCGTGCTCCGATTTGGCCACCTTGCGTCCCCTTGATCCGCGCACTGAAGGTCACTCTTGCCTAGGGTCACTCTTGAGTGTAGCCTTAAGTCGGGCCTGTCCCCCTACAGGGGGATTTTCGACGACACATAAAAAGTACTCCAAACAAATCAAAACAACAATATCCCAGTGCGACCCTACCTAGGAGTTGGAGCATCTAGGAAATCAACATCTACATCTACACCGACAGCTACGTTAACATCTACACCTGCATCTACATATGCATCAACATCAACAGCGAGACTCACATCTACATCTACATCCACACCTACATCTACACCTACATCTACATCTACATCTACATATACACCCACATCCACATCTACACCTACATCTACATCTACATCTACAATTTCGCATGGGTTTTGCTTTTGCGGCGCATGCTGTGCTATGCTATGCTATGGTATGCTTGGCTATGCTATGCTAGACTGTGCTGTGCTAATGCTGCGCTAAGCTAAGCTAAGGTAAGCTAAGCTATGATTCGCTATGAGATGCTATGCTGCGCTATGCTAGGCTAGGCTATGCTATGATATGTTATGCTGCGCTGTGCTGTGCTATGCTATGCTGTGCTGCGCTATGCTGTGCTGTGCTGTGCTATGCTATGCGATGCCGCGCCGTGCTATGCTAAGCAATGCTATGCTATGATATGATATGATATGCTGCGCTATGCTATGCTGTGCTATGCTTTGCGATGCTATGTTATACTGTGCGAATGTTGCGCTGCGCTATGCTGCGCTAAGCTAAGGTAAGCTAAGCCATGCTAAGCTAAAACTAAGCTAAGCTAGGCTAGGCTAAGCTAAGCTAAGCTGAGCTAAGTCAAGCTAAGCTAAGCTAAGCTAGGGAAAACAAGCTAAGCTAAGCTAGCCTAGGCAAAGCGGGGGATCCTGGGGGAACCGCGGGGCGGATGCTGGGGGAACCGCCCGGGGCGATTTCCACTGCCCGGCCCTTTAAGCATACATGGTAATAACTTTTCTAGGCAGAGCCTAGGTAGGGAATTACACCCATGCTATGATATGCGATGCTGCGCTATGCTACGCTACGCTATGCTAAGCTGTCCTCAGCTATGCTAAAGCTCAGCGAAGCTAAGATGAAGGTAAGCTAGCTAAGATACACGTAAGCTAAGCTAAGATGAAATATGCTAAGCTAAGATGATATAAGCAACGCTTAGCTAAAGGGACGTAACTGGCGGATCCTGGGGGAACCGCCCGGGGCGTGCCCCACTGCCCGGCCCTTTACGCAAACCGAGTAAGAACCCTTCTGGGCAGAGCCTAGGTAGGGAAAAATCACAAAACAAATAGTCTGGGGACTATTTCTTGAGTATTTTTTGACCTTTTTGGGGTATTGTTGGGGTATGTCTTGTTTTCGTCGAAAATCCTCCTGTAGGGGGACACGCCCGACTTCAGTGTAGCCGAAGGTCGGGCGGACGGTAAAGAGGGGGGAAGCGCTTGCGCCTCCCAGCTGCGCGGCAGGTTCCTCGCCCTCGCTCTCGGGGGGGGGGGCCCGCCCTCGCTCGCAGAGGGCGGCACTGGGGATGGGCCCTCGTGCCCTGGCGGGCCCTCCTGCCCCCACGTGCGTGCCCTCGCGCCCTTCTCCAGGCCCCCCCAACGGGGGTCCGAGCAGACCGAGTCGGAGGGTCGCGCCGCATCGCCGATGCGTCGGTGATGCACCGGCCAGGCATCGCGGTCCTATCTGCTCGGGCCCCATTTGGGAGGCCTCTAGATAATCGGGGGGAATCGAGGGCTGCAGGACATTGCATCACACATAACGGCTTACACATACACCAGAGAAAGGGGGCCGACTGGTAATTTATTGTCCTTGGGTGCGTGGCTGAAGCGGCATTCCATGGCCTGGAGTCATGGTGTTTGCTGTTCTTTGTGTGTTTGTTTTGTTGGTTTGGTATGGTGCTGTTTGTTGTGGTTGTTGTGTTTGTTGTTGGTGTTGGTGTGGTTGTTGTTGCGGCTGATGATGTTGCTGTTGTTGTTGCTGTTGTTGTTGTTGTGGTTGATATGTGCGTTGTTGTTGTGGTTGTTATGGTTTGTGTTATTTGTTTCAGTTGTGATTGGTGTTGTTGTTGGTGGTGTTGCTTGTTGTGGTTGTTGGTGTTGGTTGGTGTTGCTGGTGTTGGTTGTTGTGTGTTGGTTGCTGGGTGTTGGCTGTTGTTTTTGGTTTGTTGTTGGTGGTGGTGGTGGTGCTGCTGCTGCTGTCGCTGGTGGTGTTGTTGCTTGTTGCTTGTTACTGGTGTTGTTGGTGGTATTGCTGTTGTTGTCGCTGGTGCTGTTGTTCTTGTTGGTGTTGTTGTAAGTGTTGTTGCTGCTGCTGATGTTGCTTTTGTTGCTGCTGCTGTTGCTGCTGTTGTGGAGTTTGTTGTTTCTGTTGATTGCGTGGTTGTCTTTTTCTTGTTTCAGTTGTTATCGGTGGTGGTGCTGTTGGTGTTGTTCGTTGTGGATGTTGGTGTTGGTAGTTGTTGCTGCTGTTGGTTGTTGTTTGTTGGTTGCTGGTTGTTGGCTGTTGGTTGTTGTGTGTTGTTGTTGGTCGTGGTGCTGTTGCTGCTGGTGTTGATGGTGTCGTTGTTGTTGTTGCTGCTGCCGCTGCTGTTGCTGTTTTGGTTGTTGGCAGTTCAGTAGTTGTTGTTGCTGCTGCTGCTGTTGCTGTGTTGTTGTTGTTATCGTATCAGGTGTCAATGGTGGTGCTGTTGGTGGGGTTGTTTGTTGTGGTTGATGGTCTTGATTGTTGCTGCTGTTGGTTGCTGGCTGATGGTTGTTTGGTGTTGGGTGTTGGTTATTGGCTGTGTGTCGTTGATTCTTGGCTGTTGCTGTTTATTGGTGTCGGTGCTGTTGTTGGTTGTTTGCTGCAGGACATTGCATCACAAATAACGGCTTATCCATACACCAGAGAAGGGCGGCCGATTGGTCGTTTGTCGTCCTTGGGTGTGTGGCTGACGTGGCATTCCATGGCCCGGAGTCATGGTGCTGTTTGTTGTGGTTGTTGTGGTTGGTGTTGTTGTTGGTGTTGTTGGTGTGGTTGTTGTTGTGGTTGCTGATGTTGCTGTTGTTGCTGCTGTTGCTGTTGTTTGCTTGCCGTGTTCGTCGTTGTTGTTGTGGTTGTGATGGTGTTTGTTACTTGTTTCAGTTGTAATTGGTGTTGTTGGTGGTGGTGTTTGTTGTGGTTGTTGGTGGTGGTTGATGTTGCTGGTGTTGGTTGTTGTGTGTTGGTTGCTGGGTGTTGGCTGTTGTTTTTGGTTTGTTGTTGGTGGTGGTGTTGCTGCTGCTGCTGTCGCTGGTGGTGTTGTTGCTGCTGCTGCTGTTGCTGGTGCTGTTGTTGGTGGTATTGCTGTTGCTGTTACTGGTGCTGTTGTTGTTGGTGGTGGTGGTGTTGTTGTAAGTGTGGTTGTTGTTGCTGCTGCTGATGTTGCTGTTGCTGCTGCTGCTGCTGCTGATGTTGCTGCTGTTGTGGAGTTTGTTGTTTCTGTTGTTTGCGTGGTTGTCTTTATTTGTTTCAGTTGGTATTGATTGGTGTGTTGTTGGTGTCATGTGTTGTTGATATTGGTGTTGGTAGTAGTTGCTGTTGTTGGTTGATGTTTGTGTGTTGCTGGTTGTGAGCAGTTGGTTGTTGTTCGTTGTTGGTAGTGGTGGTTGTGGTGTTGCTGCTGGTGTTGATGGTGTCGTTGTTGTTGTTACTGCTGTTGCTGTTGTGGTTGTTGGTAGTTCAGTAATTGTTGTTGTTGCTACTGTTGTTGATTGGTTGTTATCGTGTCAGTTGTCGTTGGTGGTGGTGTTGGCGGAGTTGTTTGTTGTGGTTGTTGTTGCTGTTACTGTTGGCTGTTGGTTGTTGGCTGTTTGGTGTTGGGTGTTGGTTATTGGCTGTGTGTTGTTGGTTGTTGGCTGTTGCTGCTTATTGTTGTCGGTGCTGTTGGTGGTTGTTTGCTGCTTGCCGCCTGCTGTTTGTTGCTTGCTTGTTGATTGGTGTTGTTATGGTTGCTGTTGCTGTTGTCGTCGTTCTCGCCCGCGCCGCGGCCCCGCGACGAATCCCGCGCCCGCCGCCCCACTCTTAGTCTGCAGCTGCCGGGTGCTGCATACGTTCTCTCAGCTCCGCCTCCTCGGCGCGGCCTCGGCCTGGGCATGCGGGCGACCTTTCGAGACTAAAACAACACCCCGAACCCCAAGAACACAATGAAGACGTGGCCTCACTTGCGTCCCCGTTGTTGCACTAGGGGCAATCGATCTGGGCGGTTTGGTTCGATACATCTGCAGAAACGACCCCCGCCCTTCATGTTTCCGGCCCTCCTAATTTAGGCCCCCGCCCAAAGAGTTGGGGCCCTTGTACGGCTAATCAGATGACCTTGTGGCCCACCCCTCGGATACAGGACGGTCTTTTGCCACGAGGTTGAGATTTCATAGGTCGGCACAGGTCGAACAACAAAAAGCTGCACAAGCATATTCCGTAAGTTTTTTGGCTCAAGCTCGTGGGCGAAACACATGACCGTATCCGCGGCCTCGCGGACCAGGCCGTTGGGCCGCGGCCCCGCGGATACGGAGCGTTTTGTCGCAGATGCCCCGCGCGGAGCGCCCCGGAATCCAGGCCGCGAGTTGCGACGCCGTCGCAATGGTCGGTCGCGCCAGGGCTCTCGCCGCCGCCCGAGGCAGTTCCGCAGCCAGCCCCAGCCGTTGCACATGCTGCGGCCGAGGCGGCAGCGGCGCCCAAGC